CCCCCCCCTCCTCTCTCTCCCCTCTGACTCCTCTCACATCTCCTCACCTCTCCGGTCTGTTACAGTTCACACAGTTCAGCCTTTCCTCGGGACGTCCAGGTCACAGAGGTCGCTGATCAAACTGAAAATCTGCTGCAAGGGGGCGGGGACACTCATTTATAATTACGTTTTCTGAAATGTTATGTTCAAATATGTAAATATCTTATTAAAGAGGCCCTATTATGCAGATTTTCCAGGTCATATTAGTATTTAATGCTTCTACTGTGACATGTCTCCATGCTTTAATGTTCAAAAAGCTCTTTACTGTTCTCATACTGCCTGTGCTGCTGCACCTCTTTTCACCCTCTGCCTGAAACAATGCAGAGCCCAGTCTGCTCTGATTGGTTAGCTGGCCGGCTCTTTTGTGATTGGTTAGCTGCTGAGAGATGTCTTGCACCCTTGGCCTATCACCTACAATGTGTTGGAGCAATAGCCAATAGAAGCGCACGTGTTACATCGTGACACCAGTATGTTTATTTAATTATCTTAACTCATATCTTAATATATGTAACATCGGCTACTCATTGTTTTACCTTAGTCTATTGTTGGCATTCTTATTCATACCGTCACCTACTTGTTTACTCTTATTTATTATCCTTGTTTGAACTCATAACTTTCCTGTGTTTCACTCTCATTCACTCGCCTCACGTGAATTTCCCTACAGAGATCAATAAAGGTCTATCTCATCTTATCTTAAAACTTGTCGCAGTGTAAGATCTGGCTGTGATAGTCTGCTTTATGGCCTGCAGTTGAAACAGTTTTCACTGTATGTGAGACACCACATGTAGAGAAGCAATGCTGCAAAACACCAGGAGGATATGCGTGTGTCTTTTGTCTCATTCTGCTCCGCTGAACTGGCATTTGAATTGGAGACATGCAGGGCAGAATGTCAGACCTGAATCACATGGAAATACGTTTTATAGACTCGCTGTATCTCAGCAGGGGGTCACGGGGCATGACCGGAGAGCCGGAGGTAATATCAGATTTTTTATTTAAGTAAAAGGCGCTTTACTGCAGTGTAAAAATACTCTGTTAGAAGTAGATGTCATGCATTTAAATTCATGCTAACGTACCAACATGTAGTTTTATAATCATGGATTTTCTCATGTGGGTTCATCACTTAAAAGAAGCCCTATTATGCTTTCCTGCAGTGTGTTATTTAGGTTTTTGTGCATGTAAATGGTCTGCAAAGGTTAAAATCCCAAAGTGCAAAGTACAACATTTAATGAACCTGACATTTTACATAATAGACCCTTTAATGTTGCAGCTGGTAAAGGTGAATCTGATTTAATCATTGTATATACTGCTGCTGGGTAGCTTAACATGTAATCATGATAAGATGATTTTGCATCAGTAACATCATTCATTACATTACATTTCATAGACACTTTTATCCAAAGCGACTTACATACTCAGTACTGTGGGTAATCCCCACAGGAGCAATTTGGGGTGAGGTGTCTCAGGGACACAACGACATGCTGACTGCAGTGGGGTTTGAACCTGACTGATGTGAACACCAACGCACAACCCACTGCACCACACGCCTCCTCATTCTTAAAAGTAACTCATCTTATAATGAGGTGCAGTTAAAAGATGTGATTTTATGGAGTGGGAGTATAAAGTAACTGAAGTAAAGAAGTATATAAATAATATATATACACAGAGCAGACCTGAAACTCCAGCATATATTGATCTTCATTTCTTTTGTCAGGTGAAACTTATTTTCACAGAATGATGGTTTTCATTTTCCAGATCATGGGTCAATTTCCACTGGAAGAATAAGAACGTGGAGAGCAATACAGCTGATAATAACCCGTGCAGTATAAAAGGGCACTGTGAGTTAAACTGGAAGTCTACAGCGAAGAGAAAAAGACCAGAGGATATTTTGGCACGTTGATATGAGAAAGTGGAATATATGGCCCATATTACTTCCTAATATCTGTATATGTAAGACTGTAGCAGCGCCACCTGCTGGAAGAGAAAGCCATGGAAATATTGTGATCGTCATCTTATGCCGTTGATTGCAGAATAGCAGACATTTGAGCTGAATAAACAACAGAGAAACACACACTTTTAATACACTGCTATGGAAATAAGTACGTTTTTAATAACAGTCATGAGAGGGACTGTTTTGACTCTTAAATGTATTATTTCTGTGGTCATTGAGTCTTTCTACAGACCACAGACACGCCAGAAACAGGCTGCTGCTGCCCCCTAGAGGCACGAAGCAGTCACATTATAAATACATGCAAATACATATCAGATAGAGCTGTAATTCACATTCAAAAAAGGAAAACAGCTGATAAAAAATATGCAAACAAGAGCACTTGGTATGAGCTTATGTGTCTCCACTAAGAAAAGGTTATTGCTCTGTGTCTTTAAATGCCTTTTTAATAATGTATTTGTGCTGTATTTGTTCTTAAATGTTGTTTGCTTTTAATCTGTAAAGCACTTTGAATCGCCACGTGCTGAAAAGTGCTATATAAATAAAATTGCCTTGCCATTGGTGTACCATGTGTGTAGATGTGAGCTATTACACTTTATTAATAGTTCACAATATTATATCAACTTTTTTTAAAGTTATAAAGGTCTTTGATAATAAATAAATCAAATCCTGAACTCACTGTCCTTACCCTGAATATACTGTAACAGTCAGTTTGGAAAGAAAGCTGTGTAAATTACATGTCTACATTTTGTATTAATTCAACCCCCCCCCATGTGTAACAGACAGACCTAATGCAATATAGGTTCTTCAGGGGGTCATCAAAAAGCCAATTACTTAAATCAATTAGACTTCATTGTACAGATTGTGTATTCACCTGTGGCTTTTCCATTTAACTCATAATGTGTGTGTTTTCCCTGTGGTTTGAAGGTATGAGCAGCTTCAGAAGCAGCTTTCCAAGCTGGAGGAGACAGAAGGAGGCTATGACCAGTTCACACAAAGCTACAAGACCTTCGGTGTGCAGCGGCAGCCGGACAACAGCCTGCATTTTAGGGAGTGGGCTCCGGCTGCAGAGGCCCTTTTCCTAACCGGGGACTTCAGTAAGTATCCTGAGAAGAGCTGTCGGCTCCTGAACAACATGTCAGCAGTCGGATGCATTTTCTTTGGTTAAAGTTACACTTCCTTCTAAATGTGTTGTTGATAACACCCTAAAACTAAAGCTTAAACCTCCCACAGATATTTTTTTCAGTTAATTTTTTAGAAAATAGTGATTATTTTTCTTGAAGACATTTGTTTTTGGCACAGTAAGTGTTTTTAAAACAAGCATCCAGCAAGCTAATAGATCATAAATATGCCTTATTGCATAATAGCAATCAAATTGCAGAGTTGAATCGGATAACTAAAAAGGAAATGACACTTTAATATAGAGCTACATACTCTGTTGGGACCAACATGGACAAAGACATTTCCTTGCGAACAGGAATGTTGCATATCTTCACAGTGCACTAAATAAGAAATGTGAAATTTCTGAACTCTTGAACACAAAGTGGCAAAAAATTAAGAAAAGGCATAGAGAACCCTGGTGCAAGGCTATCAGCCCTTTTGATGAACCAACCTGGGAGTAGAAATGTGGAAAATATTGATTACTAAGGATAAACTTGCATACTGAAGGGGGTTCTTTTTGAATGTGTTTGTTAATATTTTAGTAGCTGGTTATTTCATCATCGCCTACAAAGTTGTTGAGAGAGTGCAACCTCTGTGTTTGCACTGAAATCTTTATTCCCTTCGGCCCCGACTTTGAAAGTAATTTCAGGTTAATAGTCTTTTGAGTGTTATTTCCAGTTTATATCGGCGGTGAAAATGCAGCAAGATCATTTATTTTTGTCGTCATTACCAAGATTAAATGAGCTGCCCTCATATATCAAATATATATACCGTATATATACTGTACCAGGTAATACAAGCCCTCAGTGTCATTTATTTCCTTTATCAAATATATTAATGCATCTATTACACATGCCACTAGTAATATTTTACCCTCAACAGACAAACAACAATAACAAAACAAATAGAAAAAAAAAAGAATAACAAAAGGCTGGTGAAATAATTCAGAGCTGTGCACATAACTCAGATTCCATTGGCCATGCCACAGCAGTGCACACACACTTGCCTCTGTGCCACATCCCTTCTGAACTGGCGCCCTGCAGGTGATGATAAAGGAAAGCAAATGCTAATAGTAATACCTTCAGATTGATACTGTGTGCAAACCCGAGATTTTTCAATTTGTTTATTGTCCCTACACATTTTTTGTGCTAGTTAGTTCTGTTGCTGCCATTCCCTCTTTCCATATTTCTCCTGTTCCTTTTCCCTTTTTAATTATCTTCCGAAGACCTTTGGCAGCAGCTCAATTCCAACATTCAATTCTGCGAGAGATTACATTTTGACACGGCTCAGTCATATTATTTGATTTCAATTTCATAGTAAATGTGGAAGCAGCCCAGCAGCCCTATTCATGAATATGGTGCAAGTTGGATGCATAATGCACTGTTTTTTTTAGTTTTTTTTTAGAGGAGTTTAAGCAAAGGGAGATAAATAAATTGTGAAGAAATATGACTTGGCCTGCCTGTAAAAAGTGTTGGTGTTGTGCCCGGTCACTCCTGGAGCATCTCCTGTGATTCATTTTCTGTCCTGCTGTTGTTTTTGCTCATGAATAGCAAACAGATATGGCTGGCGGAAAAAAATGACATCCTAAATTGTCCTGCTAAGCCGTCTGCTTTAATGTCTGATATATTCCTGTCAGTTAATCAAAATTGGTAATGCAGTATCAGCAGTTATGAATGCAAACCATTAGTTTATTCCCTCAGAGATACAATTCAATGATCAGCTAAGTTTGAATTTTAGATGAGTGAGCCTGGTGCTTTACTTGCTGTTGCAAAACTACAAAAACAACATGTGAGAGAGAGAGGGAGACATTGTGTAAAGACAGAGTGTAGAGGTCAGAAAAATAAAGAGGCCCACAGGAGAATATTGAAATAGAGCCACTGTGGTGACTAGAACTGTTGACCAAAAAAGCTAAATTGTACGACATGCAACCAAAATATGCTCAATTGTTATTGGTCAACACTATTCAGACTAAAGACTTACAAATAAAAATGCTTTTGATGCCAAAATCTTGTATTTTGCCCACAGCACAGCTGTTGTTTTTATATAAAAAGTATGCCAGGCTTATGAGCAAATTAGCAGTACAAAACTGAGACAAGAAATTGTTGTTTTCATCCTGGGGTCAAGACCTCATGAATCGCAAGGTAATAAACAAGATAGAAAAAAAACAACTAATTATAAAAACAATTCTGTGATTATTTCCTATAAGGATACCAAAGGGACACAAGGTATCAATGCACTGGCTTAGTCTGCTCTGCCATCAATAATCATAGTGATGTCTTTGATCAGTTCAGAGCTAATTGATGATAGGCAAAGTTGTAAACCAATACATTCACTGTGATTAATTCCTTGCTGTGTTCCCCTACAGATGCCTGGGAGAAATTCACCCACCCCTACACCAAGCAAGAATTTGGCAAGTGGGAACTGATTCTACCTCCGAAGCATGACAACTCTCCAGCTGTGGATCACAACTCCAAACTCAAGGTAGAGAAGTGAACATCTTTGTGCCTAGTTTCACACACTCAGAGGGTGTCATCTTGCCGTGGTGGGACGGGGATTGTCATCGCAATGTGTAAGGGAGATTACCTGTTATGTACGGTGTCTTATGCACCAAGTGAAAACCTGGCAGGTCGCCGTCAACAGCATGTCATACTTACAGCGCGCACAGGGGAGAAGACTGTATGTACACAATGTGCACAGTGGGGGGTAGATACACCTGAGGAGCCCGACGTATGGCAGTTATTTAATCTCCTGTCTGCGGCAGGTATCCCTCAGGACATCGTGCCACGTTGGTCTGAGCAGAACACTCCCCGCTGTGGGGGTACATGATTGGTTTTTAGCTCTTGTAAATAATTCATCAGGGTAAAATGCAAAAGATACACCTCCCCATTATGCATTGTTTCCCAAGCAAACGGTGTGCATGAGAATTAATCCTGACATGCGTTGCCAGGCATGGGATGGATGGCACCGTAGCACCGTGGCACCAGTCTCCTTGGGGCCGGGTCATCGTTGGCGCTCCTCTGCGCCCTGGACAGGCTGCCCGGCTCCCATTGTCAGCGGAGGTCAGTCTGAGGACGATAAGAAGCAGATGGAAAAGCTGGCACCTGGCCTTTCCTTGTGCACCCCCGCTGCCTGTGAATGGCTGTCTTGCTGTGAGCTCCACTTTAGAATTTGTTCCACAGCACTCCCTCGTGGAAGCACAAGCCTAGCTCCAATCACTCTCATGTAGAGCAGCTTGCCCTTCTATCCCCCTTTGTTCAGGGTCCAATTTATCTCCATACACAAGCATTTGTCTGGGTACAGTATTAACAATGAGCTACTTTTGTTGAGAGCGTGCAAGATTTTAGAGATCCGCGGTGTTATCTAAACAATTCGCTCCCTTTTGTTATTTTTTTTAATTCACACCTTACTTCTCGCATATTGCTTGGCTCTTCCTATTCAAGCACCCCCCCCTTGCCTGCCCACCAGTCTCTTTTGTCTTTAATATTCCTAATGCTGGTCAATTTGTCTGAAGGACCACCACGCTGTCCGGCTTTTTGCCAGTCCATTTATCCAACTATCTTTTCTTAATCCTATAAACTGTGAAGCATGTCATAAGGGGACCCAGGCAGCTAAACCCCAGGTGGCCTGACCATAATGAAAAAACCCCAGAGGGGGGTCTGGCATTGGAGCGGTCATTACTTTACAATGGTATGGCCAGAATTAGTTGTGTTCTAATGCCTGTTTCTGCAGGGGACCAAACAGGGCGAACACATACTGTGGGTAACACTGCAGGATCGATTTATAGCCGGGTATTTCCAACTCTCATGCTGGCTTTCTCCTTTCTTATTTGACTGATGGAAGGAAAGTAACTTTTCAGTTGGATGTACAAACTATTCTTATTTGAACCCCTTCCAATCCTAAATGGCAGACATAATAGATGAGAGGCAAAGGATAATGATTTTGATTTTCAAATGGCTTCCTGGCTCCCCAACTGTGTTAAAACCAACGGGAAAAAAAGAAAACAATCCATAATTACCATTGAATCCAGATTCACCACAACAACTGTTCTGGTCAATACTGTAGCCTTTTGTCCTCTACACCATATTAAGTCTTCGGTGCTCTATGGGAGCATAATAGGTTTGAGTTTTGCATTGGAGAGCAGGGAGCAGCTTCCTGGAAGACGGGTGGTTTTCATGTTGGCACTTTTGAAAGATGTTTGGTTTATTGGTTGAGCGATCTGCACCATCTTTTCTGTGTAATGGATGGGGAGGAGCAGCACAGTTTTATGATGTAAGCATTTCATGGCTGGAAGATGTAAATAAATGCTGACTTTAAAATCGCAAATGTCCAGGGACTGAAACACACAGGAGACCCAGAAGACATCGCAGCGTCTGTTGATTTGTGGCTAGGCCTCTTAAAGTAGTTTGCAATGATGATACATTTTTTGCATTATTGCAATCATATTTTTTCAGTTGAATGCTATTTGTATTTAGTCCTCCATCCTTTATGATGTTTATTGCGGACCCTATCCTTTCTGCTTATTAGACAAAGTGTGTGTGACCTTCCTCTTATGTAAAGTGTCCCCTCTCTCTGTCATTGTTTACAGTAAGTGCCCTTGCCATAACATAAAACTCATTTGTCTACTTTTCCCAGGTGGTGGTTCACACGGAGGAAGGTGAACGTCTGTACCGCATCTCGCCCTGGGCTAAATATGTGACCAGAGATGAGAAATCTGTCATCTACGACTGGGTTCACTGGGATCCACCTAATCCCTACACTGTGAGTTTTGATTTTTATGTTTTTTATGTTTTTCGTTTTTTTAATTTCTATTCATATTTCAATTTTTTTTATTCTGAAAAGAACAAACAAAAAAATACAAACCCCTGGGGGAAATTCTGAATTTGAAAAACACCAGTGCTGTGCAATCAATCTTAGAGCGATTGGTTTATTTTTCATGTTTTTGTTAGTAGGAGCATTCTGAGCTGCCAGCATTGAAAACTATTTGAGCAGATTTTTTGGGGGGTGAAAACATTGAGGCTTCATTTTAAAAACCTCATCAAAACTTTTTTGGTTTGATGGTAAACCCGTTAAATCAATTAATTTCTTACAGTGTGGAACAAACACTTTAAACATTAAAAATCAGCATTATATATCATATAATGTTGTTGCCTTTTCTTAAAGGAATACTTCCTCCTAAAATGACCATTTGTTTATTATTTACTAACCCTTTGATACCCTGAATTCTTAAAGAAAACGTGTATCCGAATGCCTGTGTATGCAAAAGATTTTAGCATACATGTGTTGAAAATATTGACCATAATACTGAATAAATCACAATTGGATCATGCTAAAAGGGTTGATTTGATACTAATGTGCTACTGTTAAACGCGGACCCTATTCACTTCCATTCATCAAGACTCCTCCGCTTAGTGTGCTTAACATTCTCCGGATAAGTGCATGAAAAGCGTTTTCTTCCAGTTTTCTAGGTAACAAAGAGTGAGTAATTGATAGACAAAAGGTTATTTGTGGTTAAAGTATTACTTTAATGGGGCTGCTTGATGCTGAGAGGGTCTGAATGTGACTCAATGCTACTAGATACCCTCATCGCAAGTGTCGACAAGCAAAATAATAAGAGGCTATTTACTTTCTTTATCGCTTGTTATTTGGCACCATTTTAATTAGAGAAGCCCTCTTACTGGGTGTTTATTCCCTTTTATTTACAAGTGGCTCAATCATGTACTTCAAATAGCCTGTTCACAAGGTCTGGTGGGTAGCCATCAGGACATTTGGTCTATGTATAAAACAAATCATTTTCCTATTGTGTAACAGAGACAGGCTGAATCATAGACATTTGAACATGTGCACAACCATTTCCAGCCACTGTGGTGGGATGAGACCCTGAAAACCCACACTGTGTCTTTGACCTTTTTGCTCATGATTACTCATAAAATGGACTGTATTTCAAGGTACTTTTAGGAAAATGGCTGTCATGATTTTGAATCCCTCTCCAGCAAATCCACCCTCGGCCAAAGAAGCCCAAGGGCCTGAGAATCTATGAGGCTCACGTGGGCATCGCTTCACCCGAGGGAAAGGTTGCCACGTACACCAACTTCACAACCAACGTGCTGCCTCATATAAGAGACGCCGGTAAGACATAAGACCACCTGAAATTACTGTCTTCCCTTTGACTTCCCTATTATTTAGTTGGCTACTCAAGTCCTTAAAAACTGCAAGAATATCATCCTGCTCTGATCCCCTTCATATAAGTGTCAGCCAGAGCTTTTTCTTTTTACTCGACTTGAGAACATTTTATACTTTCTAAAGTTAAGTACGAAGAGTAAGTGAACCATAAAGGTGATGTTTGTGTATTCCTCCGTACACATTAAATGAGAGCCAGCAATGTAGTTTGAGAGACATTTTTTGTATAACTACCAGTGTCCTGTTCCATCTTTGTCAACACTGGTCCTTAGCTGTTTCTCCTGCACAGTAGTTGTATTTTCTGTGGTCGAGCTGTCACAGAGCAAGCCAACATCCTTTTTACTCGCATGACCTGAAGGGCTCACTGATGATCGGACAATGTTTTTATCAAGAACCAAACCAAAGTTATTATTTATAATCTGTCTACTTTCCATCTTCCAAGAGAAGAGAGCATCATTTAGACTTGTACTTACTGTAGGGCTGGAAAATGTAACTACAAAAAGATGATGACAAGTGTTCACAATTGTTTATTTTTTCAATCAATTTGCCGGTTAATATATATATATAAATATATATAAATATATATATTTTCTTTATCTGCTTTAGTTCAGTATAGCCTTCAGAGATGTTGGCTGTCTGTACTTGACTTTGAGCCTATTTGTTTGGTGTAACATCTGTTAAATATGTCAATGACTGACAGTTACAGCTTATCTCAGTTTAATGTTGAATTCTGTTTTTTTATGTATTGAATTTTGCCATTTGACTCAGTTGAATTTTATCAGATGAAAAAAAACTATCATGAGGTGATTGTGAACATAAACTCAACTAAATAAACATTTCCTACATATTTCTTCAAGATAATATTTATCTCATCTTTGTTCAATTATAATATATAGAGAACATGCATTAATAATTATGCTTGAATTGGAAACACATTGTGAAAAAGTTTTATGAGTGCTGATTATACTTAAAATGTTAACATAATTGTGAGCTTGTCTTGCTATTCATTTTTCTAAACTGTTTTGAAGACAGAATGTTTAAGATTTGACTGAACAAAAATACCTTGCTACATTTTCAATGATAGGCTCCATATTGCATCCTGCAGATTAAAATAGTTAACTCTAAATCAATACATGTCCTTAAACTTGACTTGGAGTAAAACAATTGATGTGTGATATATTTTCTTAATATCTACTCAACTTCCTTAAAGCTCAAGATTTAAATGTGAATTCAGCCTTAAGGAAAATATCCCCGTTTTGGTTTGCAATCCTGCTCTTATGAGATGTGGGATTATTTAGCATTTAAAGCAGCCTGCTGTACACACATTGTTAAAAAGTAAAGATAGCAAACCAGGAGCAATCAGATAAACGCTGTTTCCTTGGCAGTGTCATCCTGTTTTGTGGGAAAGAGAACTGCCAGAGTAAATTCTGTCGAAAAATCCACCTGCAGCAGCTGAGCGAATCTGCACAATAGGATTCTCCAGGAGGCTAAACTCCACTGTCTCTCGTGACGGCTGCCTCTGCCTGCCTTTTCATTTCCTCCACTGTGGAGTATATACGCTCTGTATATATAAATATAAAAAACTTCAGCTCACCCCAGTGCTTTGTCACTCCATTTCAGAAGCCAGTGTTTCTTTCTCTCCGTCTCTCCAGCCTGAAAAGAAGATGCAATATATAAATAAATAAATGTGCTCCACACAACAGTGAAGAACCGCAGGGCCTCCCTATGGAGTGCTCAGTGAGAGTTTAAAAGCCTGTTGTTCTCTTATTCATAGAAGCCGTTTTGGTGGGTTGTTTGAAATGTTGTACATGACCTCCTGACTCTGATAGCTGGTGTTTCCCTGTAGCTGCTGCTTGTCTTTAGGATACTAGAGCTTGTGTCAAAAAAGGACACCTGCAGCTCACTTATACAGTATGACTGACACTGGTCAAATAGTATTGAGTCCTACCGTTACCACATGCTGGTTGTATCATATTAATGAGCCAAATCACATCGGAACCGATTTTTTTCATAAACATATTGCTCTTATTTTCTTAGCTTTTGTGTCTAACCAACAGCGTACTTGATGTACTAATGACCTGATTTTGATGAAACTTGTGGGAAGAAACAAACGTTTGCAGGGAATCTGAATCAAAGGGGCGGAAACATGCAATATTTTCCTGTTGTGAGTACTGCCTTTGTGGGGGTGGGCCCATCTACTTCTAAGAAAAATCTTAAGTAAAGAGAAGATGATGAGAATAACACTCCCTCCAGTTAATAAAGGAAATAAGGTTATCCAAATAGAAAGGATACAATGCTTTAAATAACAAACAAAAAACACCAAGATGTCTACATTGCATCATGCTGCCACACATTATGAACACATCTTTTATGATCATTTAGTTGGTTAGCCATGGGTAATATCTGAATGTTTCAATAGGTTAGACAAAGTCAGGTCACAATATTCTAGTAGGGAAGTCTTAGACGAATAAGAATTTTTTTTTTAATGTCCCTCCTCACTCTGTTTGCAGGTTACAACTGTATTCAGATGATGGCTATCATGGAGCACGCCTACTATGCAAGCTTTGGCTATCAGATCACAAGTTTCTTTGCTGCTTCCAGGTAACTGTGTGTACAATTCTGTATGATTAATATATTTTGTTCACTCTTGATTGCAAAGTTGTTATGTACAAATAAAATGTGTAAAGCTTTCTTTCAGCGTGAGCCATTCAAGTCATATAGTTTTCAACACTTGTGGTGAAGTCCGCCATTCCTTCACCAAAATCGAGAGATTCAGAAGAAACAATGAATTAGCCAGTGTGCATTTTTAATGATATGAAAGGCAACATTCCATCAGGAGTTTAGTGCTACTGTGCTGGGAGACATCGTTTCTGGTCTTCTTTATTGAAACAACCTAACGAGATGATTCCATTCATCCTAACCAGGGGCTGTATTCACAAAGGATCTTAGGGCTAAAAGTAGCTCCTAACTGGCGAATTTAGGAGAAACTCCTAAACATAATGGGTGTGTCAGTCTTAAATTTAGGACTCCTAATTTTATTCACTAAGAGCAATTCACAAAGTATTTTAGGCCTAAAAGTAGCACCTAAGTTTAGGAGAGCTTAAAAGTCCTCGAGAGGACTCCTAACTCAGTAAGACCTATTCACGAAGAATCTGAAAATGGCTGCGAGACGAAATGTTTTGGAGACAATGGAAGACTGTGAATTGATCAAGAGATATAGGCTAAATCGTGAGGGTATCAAACTTGTTGTGGAATTAGTGCGGGATACAATAACATCCCCGACTAACAGGAATAACCCGATTAGTCCGGAAATAAAATGTTTGGCAACACTACGATATTTAGCAACAGGGAAAATGCAACTTTGCAATGCCGACGATTTAGGAATATCGCAACCATCAGTCAGCCGTGCCATAAACCAAACCATCAACGCGCTCTCT